ATGACACTTGTACTGAAACATACCCATACCATCACATCATTACTGTACTGCTTTCTGTAGATTGCGTGTAATAGTTTTCACTCGACATGGTGCTGTATTAATCTGCAATTACCTGTGTTTTCAGAAAATGGCATTTTGGAAGTGATTTCAAGCAGGGCTTTGCGATATGTCTTCAAATCAATATCACAATATATTGATCAGTTCACCTCGATAACGATGAATGGAAGATAACTACTCCACAAGCTGCTCACCCCCTCCCACATTAACATTAACCGTCCTCCATCTCCTCACCTGTCTTTCCCTCTTTGTTACGGACTGGATGGGGTGGAGTCACGTCTCTGACGTAGGACAGCGTCTTAAAGGGACATGAGATCATGGCCTACCAACACACATCCAAAAACAAACTTTAATTTATTTGTTTATTTTGACACTGAGTATATTGACATGGGCGAAATGGCATTGGTTATTGATGTAAATTTTCAGTTTATCACCCAGCCCTAATTTCAAGCCTATGCAGCTACTTCAGCTACAGAGCCATGTTTGTTTTAAAGCAATTCTGCCTTGTGGGTTAAAATATTACACATCCGGTGTTACTTATTTCTCTATATCTTGAGAACTTGGCCTTTGGATCATGTTTTTATTGAACCATCTATGTCCCACTGTTTTTTTAATGTGTTCCTGTGTCTTTGTTTTATTGTTTTTGTTCATTTTAAATGTGCTTTAGAAATCAGATTGGATTGGATTAAATTGGATTGGGTATCATCTGAATCTTTTAACGTTATTATAAAACAATCTGAAATAGTGGGAATATTTGCTCACAGTCTCTCACAGAGTCCTGAACCTCCTCTCATCTGCTCTTCTTAGAGACTCCGCCTCCCTGAAATGTCTTTGTTGTACTTAGTGATGTTACTTACTTCATGTAAATGACTTGAGGGATGTCTCTTCAAATATAATGTGACCACAGTTTTTCCTGAGTGCTCTTAAGTCCTTCACTTTTGGATTTGAAACACTTTCTCGCTGAGATTTTGAGATAATTTTGTTGACTGCAACAACACAGAGTAAGTATTACATCTGACTTTCTTTCTTATTTCTTTTGTTTGTTAAATTCTATTTTAATTCATACCAATAAAAAGTTAATAAGCATCAAAGTGCGGGTTTTTGCACACCATCATCTACCATCTACTTTACAGCTATCTGTGCGTGTGTAAGTGTGTATGTGTGTGTGTCTGAGTGCAAAGGGTCTGTGCATTACAGCAGAAGAAGCAGGCCTACTGTTCCAAGATACTCCCCGAGCTCCAGCAATTAATGATGACAATCTCAATTTTGATACGCCGGTCTTAGCCGAGCCGGCCGGGCCCAACGAGTTGAGGAAGTCACCTATCTAATAGATGCCACATGATATTAATGTACAGAGGCGTGCTCCCTCTAACCTGGCAGCCACGGGAAATCAATCACCACCCCGGCATTACTTCCTTTTGACAAATATGCTCTCACCGGCCAGGTAGCAGAGCTAATGGCCTCCAAAGTATATCTGTCAAAGACACAGCCTCTATTAATTATTCAGTCACCTGTGCTGCTATGCTGCGGCGGTGCTAGCTTACAATATTTACAGTGCTGCAAGAGGCCGCTCTCCCACCGGCTTATTGTCCCTGAAGTGGTGAGCAGCTTTTTGCATGAGCCATAATTCCATCTGCTCCACTTCTACAGAGAGAAAGAGAGAGAGAGAAAGGGAGGGAGAGACAAGCTGCTTTCATCGCTTATCAAGAAACACGCCGGTCTCTGGAGGTGCATGAGTGTAAATATGACTGAAGGCTGATGAAGGGTTTGCATTGTGTTTAAGTCATTAATGAGGCAGGTAGAGTTTCATCACAGAGCTGCTGTGGAGGGAGAGACTTGCTGCTGTCAGCGACCTCGAGCATGTGTTTTTGTGTTGTTTTTCTTGTCAGTCTGGATGAGAAAGCACGCTAAATATAGTAGGTAATCATGTGTGCATAATGAGGCATTACTAATGTAACAAACGGGGCAAAAAGGCTTTTTTTTTTGGTTTTGTTTTTGAGGGTATTGTCCGGCGAGGAAGAGTGCAGACAGTGTTAAACAAAGAGCACAATGGTGGCAAATCCAGCTGTTACCAGACAACCACTGGCCACCATGCTCTTACCGAGTTAAATCCCCTTTTTTTCCGCCCACAGAGGGGGAGCAGGGTGGCGGACTTAGGGAGGAGGGGGAGTAGAGGGGAAGGAGGGACTGATGCTGCGTTCAAGTGCTGATTAGAAAAACAGGAGGAAGGAGTTTCCGCGTGTAAAAATGATCCGCTTCAGCACCGACGGAAGATTCTGCTTAGAAATGTGTTTTCTTGGAAACGCATGTCCAAGATTTTCCTCATTTTCATTTAGTTGATATTTAAAACATTCGATACAAAGAATAATCTCAAACATGTGAATGAAAAGGAGAAGAAAGAAGAAAAATCTGCCTCTTTTTCACAAGATATAAATTAACTAAACACAAAAAATAAACAAAAGCTGCAGGCCAACATGCCTTTTTACAGTTCATTATTTCTTATTCTTCAAAAACAACCCACAAAACAAACAGATAAGACCACATTCATTCACATTTTTCCACAAAACAAACATACCAAGACTTAGATGAACATATTTCCCTGTATTTGCTCAACATACCGGCTTTGACGCAGTTTTTTCTCTTTTTTTTTGCTTTCTTTGCAAACTTTCACAACTCTTTCATACTCAGACGCTAAAGCAGCACATTTTTATGTAAGTTCCTCTGAATCCAAGTTAACAGCTGAACTGAATAACCTACATACTTTCATATTAACTGAAGAAAAAAAAAATACACATTACACAACCCCACTCCAGTCTGTCCCACAGGAGCTGAAGGGGCGTGGACACACGGCTCTGAACAGCCTGGTTAAGATCTTCAAAACTAACACTGGAAAAACTGTCTCACTGTGAACCTGGCCTCAAACACCGGGCTGTTTTCATGTGGACTCAAAGGGACGCGCTCCAGATTGTTGCAGCAAAGTTGGCAGAAAAACATTATCAGATACATTCTTTTCCACTGTCGCTTAAACTCATGGCGAAAGACGAGTATGTAGACTAGTTTAGTATATAGACTTGGTGCAGACAGACCATATGTATTTTCACTGTAAACTCAAACTCAATCACAGCGTTGCTGTCATAGCACCATTAGGTCTCGGTTGTTACCTTACGTTTATGGATTATAGTTTAATGTGCTTATCTGATACAGGCCCCGACTGTTTTATGATGAGATTAACATCAGGGAGCTCACTTCATGCAGGAAGCGTGTTGACTGCATAATAGCATTGTTTTTTTGGCATGCACACTGCATCTCAGATCTCTGCAAAAATAACAAACACACACCTTCAACTGAGAGGCTGAGGGTTGCATTTGCTCTGTATCAGCCATGTTTATGTCGTAAAGCACAAAGATATTTGGTACGAAGGCAAACTTCTTCCCTGTTTTATGTAATGCTTTTATTCTGAAGCTGTGTTCAGGACTACATTTGATGGAATCAATAACATCATTCGAGCTTTCATAATCAGTTTACAAACCAGGAGAGCGAACGATGCAAACATACGACGCAAAACTACGAAATATTCTGAGGCTAATTTTGACATGCCTGACTATACACATAAAGCGCGATGCGATTTTGTGACTTTCCAGGGGGAAAAAAAAAAGAGACGTCCCGGTGGAAGCAAGAAGACTGACACAACAGCAGACTGAGTGTTTTTCAGTTCTGATTAGACACTCGTGTTGAGATGTCTGTCTGTCATGATAGCATGGACTGAGTCGGGGCCAGTACCAGATAAGCACATTAAACTATAATCCATAAACGTAAGGTAACAACCGAGACCTAATGGTGCTGTGACAGCAACGCTATGATTGAGTTTGAGTTTACAGTGAAAATACATATGGTATGTTGTATCTGAACAGGTTAGCTTACGAGCTAAAGTTACTTAGCGCGGATGAAAGTTAAAACAAAGACGTTTATCAAACTGTTAAAGCACACAAACCATCGTCATATGAGAAATTCGACGCTATGACTCCCCACAAGTCGTCCTTCAGGTCATTATCTTTGTAATATTTGTGTTTTTTATCAAAAATCACTCTGTTCTCCGACACGTAAACAATCAGCCAGTCAGCCATGTTGGATATAGCCTACCGGTGAATCTGATGTCGCAACAACACGCAATCTGATTGGTCAGAAGTGGACACACAGTATGCGAAACTTTAGAAAAATAGACTGTGATCCGATAAAAATAAATGCTGCAATATCGCAGGACGGGAAAACGTCGCTGATGTGAACGCTTGTATTGACAGGATACGGGTTTGAAAAAAAAATATTGACGTCCGAAATAATTGCACGAAAAAAAAACGGTCCCAGTGTGTAAGCACGTTAAAGAATAAAGAAACTTAGTCATATTTACATTTTTACAGAATAAACATAATAATAATAATAATAATAATAATATGATTTATTGCACACTGAGGTTTTTATTGTTTTTATTTGTTTTTGTAGAAAATGTTACCAGAGGAAAGTTCAGATTTACGTTCCTTAAAACCAAGATGAGCTGCAGACCTGGGACTCGATGAAAATCTCTGATGAGCAAGTCAAAAAGAAAAGAAATGCAATTTGAAAATCCACATAAATTCAGCTTTTATTTTGAAATCTTTTTTTTTTTCTCATGGGAATTAAAAACAAACTTCTTTTACTACTTATCTCTCTTTCATAAAACTCTCTTATTCTCATTAAATGAATCAGACAGCAGTGATATTTTCTCACGGACTGTTCCTTTATTAAGCTTTAATTATTACTCTATGTGTTGCAACACAGTTTCTGCCGGGGCGTGTTTCTGTCAGTGTGTAAGTGTGTGTGTGTGGACCAGGGGGATGTTTTTTGCCCACCTCCAATGAACGCAACACGAGCGTCTAACTGGGTCACGTGAGATACTCCGCTAATAATGCAGTGACGTGGTAGAGTTCCGTCAGTGTAGCGGTGTCTGTCAGCCAGCCTGCCCGGGCCACCGACCGCCTTACCCGGCTAAGAGATCCGAGAGGGGGTCGGTCCATGACGGAGCGGGTGGAGAAGAAAAACAAGGAGGAGTGGACAGAGAAACGGCCGCGTGGAGGTGAAGGTAGACGACTAGTTGTTTTTGTTTTGTCTTCGGGACTCGGGGAACATGTTTTTGCAGTGATTTGAGTCCAAGCTTGGAGGGGATTTTTCTCCTCATTTTTGTTTTTTTGTTTTTGTCTTTCTCTGCGCTTACTCTGTGCATCATCCAGCGGAGCATCGTGCATGAGCAGCCGCACTCCTGCTGCTCTGACGCCGCTGCTCTCCCCTCCTTCCAGCGGATAAACGTGCGCGGATGTTGTGGTGTTTTCTGCGTTTTTGCATCAGATTAAACATCTGGAGAAGGGAGGAAAACTACGAAAAAGACACGGAAATAACCGAGGAGGTGGAGCCGAGAAATGTTGAGTAAGTTGTGAGGCTGTGGTGTGTAACGGACACAAGGAGGAGACGCTGCAGGAGCGGATCCAAAAACCTGCAGGTTTGGTGAGCCCGTGGGGATGAGGACGAGCGGGGACGTAACGCATCCAAGGTGTCAGTGTTATTAGAGGAGGGGGAGCAGCAGGAGGAGGAGGAGGAGGAAGAGGAGGAGGAGAGGCATTAGAGCACAGATTGTCTCCTCATGCAAGGAGGCGGTGATGGAGGGTGAAGGCACCGGGGTCCTCACATTCCGACAGCCGACCGCAGCCCTGTCAGCAGCCGCAGCAGCAGCAGCATGAGGAGGAGGAGGTACGCAGCACTGCACGTCTCATCAGTCCTCCACATCCTCATTATTCATTTAGCCTTCCCCGCCCTCCTCTCCCCTCCATTACATCCAGACAGCCACCCTTCTCAGCCGCCTTGACTAGTACCTATCCATCCATCAATCAATCCATCAGTCAATCAATCCACCCTGCCCCTTCCTTCTCCTCCCTGCATCTTCTCTCTCTTTTCTCCATCAGGCACTTTTTAGACCCCCAGTGGCTTCCTTAAGTGTTGCAGTGACACCTAAGGAGCCCTTGGGCAGGTGTCTTAAGCAGGTGTGTCTCTTGAAAATGAAAAACACTTTAATTATGCTTTGGCTTAATGAGGAAGGATGAGCGTCAGTCTTGTGTCTCTTTGCTCGGAGCGGTTGAAAATGTTCCTCCTGAAGCGACAATTACTGTCATCGTATCAGGGTCAGTTATCCTGACTGTATTCACGTCTTCAGGTTTAGGAAACCCCCTTTTCTTAGACCTGCCAAGAAGCCAAGCCAGGGAGTTCCCATTGATCCAACTCAATTAACAGCGCTTTTTATCCACTTCATCACGTCCAGCTGCCTGAACTATTTGGCACTGGCGCCCATGCGTGCTTAGGGATATCTGCTAACTGCTGAGATGGACGTTAAAATAGAAAAAAGAAACAGCAGCTAAGCTCACCATCTGGGTATTCACTTTGCCCGCTGGACCATGAAAATTTAATAGGGTCTAATTTTCAAACCACCTCATAATTTATTGCTGTGGTGTCAAAGCGATACCCCCGAAAGAGTCAAAGAGGAGGAGGAGGAGGCAACAACGGCCGAGCGTTCATAACAGCCCTAAACGGAAACACTTCAGGAATTAAATTCAGCTGTAAAAGTTGGCAGCAGCACAGCAGGAAAGGTCGGATCTCACAGATAGTGAGAGCGAGAGAGGAAGAAAATAACTGTCATTTAATATTTACAACAGCTGCAGCAGCTGCCAAAGCTTTATTTCCCTCAGGTCTTTTGTATTTGAGCGTTAAGAGGCGATTTGATCCGTTGTCACAACCTCTTTAGATGGACGGATGAATCCGAACGCTGAGCCGCACTTTTGCATTTTTAAAGGGTCAGTTCATCGAAGTCTGAACAATATTTTCTCACTCATTTCTCAAAAATCTGTGATAAAATCGTTTTTTGATAAACTCGTTTTTTGACATTTCTCAATCAAAATATCATTTTTCAGATGGTTTTTGGTCCCAAACCGGGGGATATTCAGTTAATCGTCTAAAGCACTCAATGGAAAAGCATTAAATCCTCTTGACACAGATGTTAAAACTGGTGGGCTTTTATACTTGTGCTTGAAAAATGACCAAAACCATTATAGAATTAGTTTCTAATAATCCCATCACTCAAAAAAAAAGAAAAGGGGGGGATAAATGGTCTTTTAGTTTTACTGCATTAAGCAGCAAAACGTCTGTGACACATGTAACCAGGAGCAACATCTCTTATCCAAAAATATACTTCCCTGTTTTGTTTTGAAGTGGAGGCAGAGATCCCAGAGGTGGTCTGAAATAGAGCAAATAAAACCGTCTCTCAAGGTGAGGAGGTGAGGAAGCAGCACCAGGAAGGAGTAAGTGAGAACATATCTGTCTTTCATTTGTAAATTGAGTGAACTGACCCTTTAAGGATCAGCTCTGACCCAGATCTGACCGTCCTCCAGTGATGAGGAGTATAAAAACCACAGCTGCCGGCCATCTAGTGTCACTCATCTGCTCTGCAAGAAGACCACAACCCTTCCTCTCCCTGCGGACCTATCCTAGTTGAGTCATACGTGCGCCCGGTCTCTCAAATACCCCTAAATACATTTCCAGCCTTTCTTACCGTCTTTGACCCGGACTTTTTTCTTAGATAGGAGTGAGAACTGAACAAAGAGTCAGTCAGAGAGTTATTCAAAAGGAACAAGAGCGAAAGTTTTTAGAAAGTACAAGTCTCTGTTGAATTTTTAATATTTAAATTTAACGCTTCGACTCCCTCAAACTAAATTCGCCTGCGTTGTATTTGGTGTGTGGCCTAAATTTCAGAGCCAGATTACCGAAGGCATTGTACGACTGAATAGAGCTGTTACTGTGTGTGTGTGTTGTGGATGCAAGTAACAATAAAGTGATCGTCAAAACGGCAGAGGAGTGAGCAGTAATGGTCGAATGGCTCAGATGTATCCACCGATCCATCAATTATCCAAACAGCCCGTCCCATTAGAGGTTGCGGGTGGCTGCGGACGATCCCAGCTGTCATCCGGCAAGAGGCAGACCACAAACACGGACTAAAATAAAGAAAACAACGCTTTGAATAGTGAGTTTGATAAAAAGAGAGAGAGAGATGGCTAACTATAGCTAACTGTATAATGCTGCAATAACCGGATTAGAGCGGCTGTGTGTTAAAAGTAGTAATCGTAAAAATGTGTATTTTAGCTTTTTATCTGTATAAGGAGCAAGTCTTTTTCCATAGAGGCTGCCATCTTCCCCATGTTTGTATGGAAGCTCAAAATGGACAAACTTGTTGCATTTTTGGGTCTTGTTGGAAGACTAAAACAAATGATAATAATAATAATAATAATACAAAGTGCTTTGATGTATAGCCATAGAGCACATGGAAAAAGACAGATAAAAAAAAAAGCTCAGTAAAAACAAAATTGAAGGCCATTTTCATGCCAGACAATTCAAGAACCATGCAACGAAGAGAGGGGCTCTTCTCAAAAATCCCAAAGTTATTTATAAAGATTTAAATGGAGGATATCTATCAAATGTTACAGCAGCTTCTTGGACTTTTAGGCAAGAGGAAAAAAAAAAGGGGGTGAGCAAGGGAGAATTTCACGGGAGCTTTTTGTCCTTAAAGGCCACTGTTGCATACAGCAAGATCTTGCTAAATATTCAGATTATTATTCACTGTAACTTTAAAATTATGAATGACTGGTTACAGCAAAAGTAACCCGCTCATGGTGATGCTAAGGATAACATTTCACATTAGCAATAAATCGACAAACTAAGCGCAGATTATTCTAAAGTTAGCGCTAAGTAGAGGTTTAATATAAATACATGGTCAACATAGCTCATGGTTGAATGTTGTTTAACAGGAAATTCTTTTTAACCCTCCTGTGATAGAGTTGCACCGACCTGTTTTTGATTTTCAATGCTTAAAAGAAACACTTGATTAAGTTTTATTTGCATCAGAACTTTTTGACTTTGTCTATTTTAACAAAATAAAAAATTCTAAAAGTTAGCGCTAAGTAGAGGTTTAATAGTAAAACATACGTTTAAGTTGTGGTTGAATGTTGTTTAACAGGAAATTCTTTTTAACCCTCCTCCTGTGATAGACGCATCTGCCTCCTCGCTGGGTGAAGCTACTGTGAGAACAGCACCCTCTGGTGATGGGCTGCAGTATAGGTTATAAATCCTGCCTACTCCAGCAATCTCTATGGAACTGTGGACAAACTTTAGAAATACACAGAATATACATTTTTCTCCCCCCTGGTTGCGATGTTGACATGTAGTTACTGTCAGACTGGTTTGTGCTCAAGTCCTCTTTTTTCTGTACAGCTCTGTTTTTAAAAGTTATCAGGGGGTTCATGTTTTCTGTGATTGACACCTGATACAGCCTATTGGCGTTCAGGGATTGCGTAGCTCAGCCGGGGGGATACGCTGTTTGAGCCGAGCGTCATCACAGCAACTCTCCGGAATGCGTACAACGTTACTGCGGAAATACTGAGAGCTTTTTGGCGTCAAATCCGTATTCAGGCGGAAGGCGGAACCAAGTTGTCCATCGTGTATACGGTCTATGATTAATGCCTAATAATAAGACCAAAAACTGAAATCACAAGTGCACTGTTGGGCACCACACTGACAATCAGATCCTCTTCCAATCATGTGAGATTTAGGAAATTCTCATTTTGCCGTGTTTTTTCCCTGCACAAAAAACAACATCGGGCATGTCCAGACATGTGAGATCAGTTCTTAGAAGTCCGTATGAGGGGTATCCTGACAAAAAAAGGCCCAGAGGACCACAACAAAAAATATTATAAGCAATATTTTCATGGATTATGAAGCCTAACAAGATAACCTAGAGATGAGAACCAAACTGGATGATAGAGAATTGTTTTTAGTTTAATTTACAGCTGTTTAAGACACGGGTCAAAACCGACCCTTAGCATGTTGGGTACGTAGTAAAAGCTAACACAGGAGGAGGGTTAAGTTACTGAATAATATTATCTTTACATCTTCATACTTTTAATGGGAACACCTTTGAGTCAATGCAAAACCAGTTGAACCATTTTAAACCTTCACACTGTAAATTCTTTTGCCTGCCGTACACTCCCGTTTATCACACGCTCTGCTTCCTCGTTTGGGCACATTAGTTGGCATGGCAGGGCGTGAGTGAGTACTGCGCACCTTCACCTGCAGGTAAGTGGAGGTATGCATGGATGTGTGAATGTGGAGCTCCAAGTGTGCGCCTTGGTTACGATCTATAACAGAGAATAGAGGAAGAAGAGTGATGAAATAGGGATGTTTGAGACACTGGTAGAGAGGGAAACGTTTAGTTTGTGTGTGTGAGAGTGTGTGAGCGAGAGAGAGAGAGAGAGAGAGGGTTTGAGAGAGAGCGGATCCGTGCGCCACTGTCAGCCAGTGATGCTGCCGCTCCGTCACCAACAACAACACCACCCTCCCTTCTTTGTTTCACTTGTTTTCTCAGCAGCCTTTGCGAACTCTTCTCTGCAATCAGAGGGAAAACAAGAGTTCGGAAAAATGACAGATTGTTGGGGAAGAGATCAGCTGAACGAGCGCGAGGAAAGTGACCAGGACAAGGAGGGATTAAGATGAGGCTGTAGATGCTCGGAGGAGAGAGAGAGAGACGTGGACTCAACTGCACCCAGGGACCGGGCCAGTGGGGCCGGCGCCCAGGGACCCATGGGTCCAGGGGCCTGGGGGGGGGGGGGGTGTAAATGCCGATGCCAATTGCACCACTGAGTGTGTGTCTGTGTCTGAATTGACGAATGCTCCGCCCAGGGATGGTTTCATTCCGGTTTTGCACCACCTGTGGGCACACGCCCTGTTTGGAGCCTTTCCAAGGAAGGTGCCGCCCGCAGGAGCTGGAGTCCAACCAAGATACTATCAATGGAAATATGAACAAACATGAGTTTTGCTTTCTATGCACAATGAATGCATCACAATTCCGCGAATGGCAGTCTCTCGCGAAGTAGTTTTTTCCAATTGCTTTTGAATGCACCGCCAGCGTGCACATGGCAGCTCCGGTTAGAGGGAGAGGTCACTTCCTTAATTTTTTGTTCTGAGTCTGCGCCGTCTTTACTTTAAAGTGACTGTTCAGAACAAAGCCGGGGACTGAATTCCCTGGAAGATGCTTTTAGATAAGATAAGCTCAGCATGACCTCGAGAGAACAAAAGCTGATATGAAATTCTTAAAATGCTGCCACGCAGGCCAAGGCGCATGGGCAGAATTTAGATCCAGTTTCCTGCTAACGTAAGCTCTACAGAAAGGATGCTTATGATGAGTGGTCCCAGAGAGAGAGAGTGAGCGATAGGAGATAAAGTTGTCTTTAAGACAAATGCATTTCCCCGAGACTTAACAGTGGTGCTGCTGCCGGCTTCTTAGTTGAATGCAAACAGGGTAGAGCCAGGGCAAGGTCTCAACTCCTCCAAGCAGTGAGAGTTCATCCTTGGCAAAGTATGACCCATGTGACTTATAGATCACAACAAGGAAAGGCAGTAAATGAGAGAGCTTGAAGACAGCACTGGAGATGGTGGAGTTGTCCTAATATGCAGCTTTTCAGATTTAAAGCATAAAAAAAAGAGGAAAAAGTCTTTTTTACAACCCGGAAAATATTGGGATGCAGACCAGACACTGACCTTAACTCCCTGCATCTTAATTGAAAAATTCAGCATGTGGAGACATGAAATTAAAAATAAATTATCTACAGCTGCTGGCTACATTTCTTTAAACTCTAAATCTCTCTAAAAATGACTTACATTTATTTTCTACAACTTGAGCAGAAAAAAGAAGTAGTGTTGAGAGAATTAACCAGATGGAGTTAAAGTGTAATGAAATACAGTTAATTTGTTTAATGTGCTCAGAAATAAAACTAGTGGGTTACGGCAGAAGTCTGCAAAATAAACTGTGAGGTCTCAAACACAACAACTACACAAATCAAACTTCAGTTTTACTCTGTGCAGCAGCTTGGCGACATTTTTAACAGAAATTCATGAGAAAAATATTTGATCCGAGAATTTATGATCATAAGTAACAACTATGAAACAAACCTTACAAATTTATAACATGTAGAAGTATATTTTCATATGAACTAGTACTAGTATTTGTATCAGTATTACATGTGGCAGCTAATTGAATAATCACTTTTTCTAGCAAACTGACGTTTGTGTGCTGCTATAAGGGTTTGCATGCACTAACTTTGTCTTTTGCATTTTTAATCAATAACTAACTTCAGAAATAATAAATCTTTATGATGATGGTCTTTGGCTACACCCAGATGAATACAGTTTTTTAGATACTCACCTGACAATGTGTTAAAAATTACCACATTAGCAATGTTAAATGCCACAAATAAACCTTGTACACTTACATACCTATTCGCCCCTAGGCCAGGCTATAATGAGGAGCAGCAAAGTAATTAAACCTACTGTGCAAACTGGGTAGAAGCAAACTAGTGGTTCGCCATCTTGGTGCATGCACAGTGCATTGACGACAAATTATGGCTGCACGATTTGGGCCAAAAATAAAAATCCAGATTTTTGTCTCTGAAAACTCCATTTTCGATTTCAATTTTTGAATTTTTATTCAGTGCCAACTTCACCAAACTTCATTTTAATAAAAGTTTTTCTATCATCTCTCAAAACAAAACCACTGAAAACGCTGTAGTGCATATGCCAAGCCAGTAAGTGGCGCTGTAACACTGCTGAGGAAATGCACTAAAGACAGAAGAAGAGTATGGCGCATACTTATGAAGGTTGTTGGGACAGGCACCATAAAAGAGTTACGCTGTGTGTCACATGATTGTTTCCAGAGATACAGATAGACATCCACACGGAGATGAAACGGTCGTCGTTTACAGATTTATTCACTCTCTGATCCGTCTCCAAAAAGTAACAAGTACAGTCACCCAAAACGCCATTTCCGTGTGGACGAAACGCTGATATGACAAAAAGCATTTACGTTTACTCCTGAAATCATTTTCATGTGGATGGGTTGATACCGCCTTCAGACAGACTTTGCAGCGGGGAGTGGTTTGGTCTTTATCCGAAACTGTGAACCCGTACCAATTCCATATGACTGACTTTCTCTTGTCGTATTTAACCAAGGAATTATCGCCGTCTTTTGCAAACGCCATGTTTGTTTACACTGGTGTGTTTGGGAACTGGGGAGCTCTCCTGCAGGAAGAGGGAGCCTATGTTGGCCTGGAGGCGCAAGACATGATAGAGAGGAAAATCAGTTTGAGGATTTTAATTTTTGTACATCGTCATAATCAAATGATCCGATTAATCGTGCAGCCCTACGACAAATGCACAAATTCTTTTTGCAAGCTCAGATCATGCCATAAAGAACGAAGTCCACTCCCAAAAAAACGCCAAAAACATAACGTAAGGCAGCTGAAAAAACATACAATATCCCTGTTTCTGTGGATTGGGCTTTACGTTTTCCGGGTTCTTGAGAAGCATCAGTAAAAGATTTTTGAAGTATATGTTGAGTCAGCTGATAAGACGGGAGTATAACGTTGAAAGGGTGGATGCAGAAGTCCCCTGGAAACCATAATCACGTTTGTTTCATTGTTGAAGGAGTTGTTTTTCCCCTTAGTCAAAAAAACTTTCAAAAGTCTTCTTTTCGCTGCTGAAAACTTTTTACCTCGCCTCATTTTAACAATAAAATAACAGGAGAACACAGTGGTTGAATAAGTACTACTCGAGGCAGTGTTATTAGCATGAACAGGAACCTCACTCAGACACACAATCAGTCAGGCTTGTTACCAAAGCGTGTTTTTAACCTCTAACTTCAGTGAACAGCCACTCTCCAGGTCTCACCAAGGGGAGCTGTAATTTCTTCTTGAGGAAAATGCGTTTCCATCACAAAGTGGACTATTTTACTGAATGAAGGTCGTTGCGAGGCTTTTTGATTTGCATGCATTACACACAGCGTGGAGGCAAAAATGGCTCCTTATTGTAAGCGTGGAAACAAAGAAAAGCAAACCCCCATAGAGTGATGTCTATACCTCTCTGTACCGCTAAGACCGGAGCTGATGTGGCCGTAACGTACGCCTAATATGTCAGCCCTTCGCTCAGATTATTGACCGCTGCAGAATCACTGGGGCTTTAATTAGTGCTAGTGTAACTAATTGGCTTGCATGGAAGTGACATTGATGGGAGGAAAGAAAATGAATTAATGAGGAGAGGTGTTGGCACGTTAAATGGAACGGTTGAAAAGTATAAATTGATGCCTGATTTCCGTAAGAATCTGGCATTTACCACCAAAACAAAACACAAAGCTTCACACTCGATCACACACACACGCGGTCGTTCTCCTGGCGAGAGCGTGGGCGGGCGGAAGTGAGCGTGTGTGGGCTCCCTCCCTGCTACATGTGTGTTCATTTGTATTTATGCACCCTTCTGTGTGTGCTCACTTCATCGGGAAACTCATGTAACTAGATGTTCGTTTAGCTGACAGCAGAAATCTCTCAAGCGCTGGATATGCTTCGATGTAAAGTATGTTAACCTTTAAAACAAAGCCCGCCCTGGCCCCTCTCATTCTGCTGTAATTGCTTGCGCTGGGTAAGCACACTCGCCTGAAAAGGTTATCGTGTTCCTTGCCAGTTGTCATGATGAATGAGCGAACATAGCTGGAAATGAAAATTAGAAGTTTCGAGAATCAGACTGCTGCAAACTCGATAGGCATGTGCACGGAGTAAACAAAAAGGCAGAGAGGATTGCAGACTTGCAGTTTGAGTATGAACAGTTATTATGATGCATGTGTCTGGTGTGAACATGGACTTTTCCACAGAGTGATTATGTGTGCTGTATGTGTGTTTTGTGTATCATTAAGTCAGCCCTTTGTTAGATTTGATGTTAGTAGGTCTCTGAACACAAAAAGTGATTATGTGTGCAGTATTTAGTCTGCATATGATTACGGACACGACACGGAAAATTTGTGCTTGTGCAGCCTGATTGTGCGGTTTGGTGAGACGGAGAATCAGCAGCGGCTTACGTGATCTCCTTTGTGTTTCCCCTTCGGGCGCAACTCCCCCTTGGGCAACAGATGCAACCATTCATGTCACATTTTGTCAGCAGTGTTGCATGTTTGCGTGTTGTGTGCATGCTCCCCCTCTCTGCCCTGTTTTCACGCCTGTTTGTGGTGGTCTCAGTTAGACGGTAGATGGCCCCCCGATAGGCTGAAGGTGGAAGGTGAATGGCAGGTGAAGGCTGTTATCGCCAGAGGCCCGCTCAGGCTTCGGCACCACTGCCTGCCGGACCCTGAAAACTCATTCTGACAGATGCATCTCCCCCCTTCTCCCTCGCTGTCGACGCTCAGTGGGGGGCTGATGACACTCGCTCACCCAAGCGGCTCAGAGACGGGTTAGCCGGCACCATGTTGAGCAAACCTGCAATTTATACTCGTGCCCCAGGCATTAAGCTGGATAATGACATGCAAGAGGCAACCACCATCTCTCTATGTCAAGCACCAGACAGCTCAGAGCTTCCATTAAAAAAAAAAGAAACTATACAAAGTATTTTCAATTCTACGCTATTTTTAGGTCTGAACTGCAAGATGAGTTTTTGATGATCTAGAAAATGATCTCATTTTCTGTCAGCGTGGCTCATTTCAGTGAGCTGTGTTTACAATGAGATTGATTTATTCTGAAAATGTGTATTATTATGTATCTCAATGCCACAACATAGTTTTCAAATATGCAAAGTGGAGGTCTCACAGTTTATTCAATGCATTAAAGCAACAGCTTTAATACTCCCATACATAAATGGTCATGTGACAGTCTCTTTTAATGTGTATTGATTAAGACTGGGGCTCGATTAAAAAAATCTAATTAATTGGAGGCTTTGTAATTAATTAATCGCAATTAATCGCATATAAATATTTGACCTGAGAGCAGTGAGAATCATTTTTTTTTAAATGGTATACAAGTGAATAAATGAATACTGAACTGAATGAATACATAAGCTTAAGCAAACGATTTCTTGCAAAGCAAATCAGTGTGGAAATCGTATGTGGACACATTGTGGATTTTGTAAACCAGGAGACGCCCCCGATAAATCATTAGAAGAGTTTGCAGAGGTGGGGCTAAGTACACTTAATCTGACTTAGTTTTTGTTGCAGCAACCTTCCAATCTCCCAAAAGCCTGTTATGTTTTCTGTCTCGGTCTAATCAAGACTCTACAATGCTGTCATTTCTATTCCGCTCCACCCTTTCAAAGTTTTCACTCAGCTTACCCCCAAAAAACACCATTTTCCAGAGTGGCGACATATACAGAAAGCTGTGAGAGGAGCTTTTGCATATGGATGAAATTCATCCTTGATTACTGTGAGAGTGTCAAAACAAACTATGAATAAAATGATTAAGAATTAACCCCAGTTGTCCTCACAAATGGAAAAGATAACACATCCGCAGCTCAGACAGCTGACATGTGGCTCGATGCCAGAGAAACGGAGGTGCTGTTCAGACTGCTGCCAACTCTGTTTTCTGTTTCTGTCTTTTCTTTAGATCAGAGAGAGCAAACACAGAGGAGGTGACCCTTATCATACCCTGAAGGAGAGCAGACAAAGAGCATGATCTTGTGTTTGTCCACAATGCCAAAGAAGAGCCAGGGAGAGGCCCCCATGGCCAGAGTAACATCGCCATCTTAGCTCCACCAGGGGCCCTCTTAACTCGACTACAAGCTGCACCTGGGGGCTCGAACGTTCCCCTGACTCCACCAGGAGGCTCGCTCCAACCCATCTGCCAGCTCAGATAACCCTCTGACTGTTGGCAACCACATGTTTGAGGTGACTGTATGTGACCGCCGCCGCCGCCGCCCATTTTCGTGCAGCAGCAGCCTCCTGCAACCCCGATCTGCACCATGCAGTGGAGACGGCGGCACTGCTGTCCCATCAAGATGACCTGGACCGTTAAGCGTTCGCTTTTTCGAACACATGTGGCAGGACTCCTCTCGCTGGCTCTGCTCTTCACCCTCTTCTTGTTTTTCAGCCATCAGGACTGGCTGCCGGGACGTGGCGGGCCCAGGGAGAACCCACTGGCCTACGCAGTAAGGGGCTTTCGCAGCCCCAAGGGAGAAGCAAACCAGAGCAGCTCCCTGAGGAGCCTGTGGAGAGAGACGGGATATGTAGCACCAAAGCCTCTGCTCAACCTCAGCTCTCAGCAGGCGGACGGAGCAGCAGGGGAGGCAGCAGGAGGAGGAGGAGGTGGGGGAGGAGGAGGAGTCTCCAGGACGGGAGTAATGGGGCTTGGGGACACCATGAGCACTAACAACAGTTTACAGAAGGAGATGGGTGTGGGTGGGAGGCTCAGCGCCCAGCCATACCGCTACATCCTCAACGAACCCTACAAATGCAGGGACAGCACACCCTTCCTTATCCTCCTCATCGCTGCGGAGCCCAGCCAGGCAGATGCCCGCAACGCCATCCGCCAGACGTGGGGGAATGAGAGCGTGGCAGCGGGGCTGGGGTTTGTCCGTCTTTTCCTTCTTGGCGCAGGAAAGAGCTCAGACACATTCCTCCAGAGCAGCATCGAGGAAGAGAGTCTTATTTACCATGACATCATCCAACAGGACTATCAGGACACCTACTACAACCTGACCATCAAAACCCTGATGGGCATGAACTGGGTGGCCACTTATTGCCCACACGCCACCTACGTGATGAAGACGGACAGCGACATGTTTGTCAACACCGAGTATCTCATCCAAAAGCTGCTGAAGCCCGAGTTACCCCCCAAGCAGAGGTACTTCACGGGGTACCTGATGAGGGGCTATGCACCAAACCGAAACAAGGACAGCAAGTGGTACATGCCACCAGAGCTGTACCCGAGCGAGCGCTACCCGATATTCTGCTCGGGCACGGGGTACGTGTTCTCAGGGGACATGGCTGAGCTGATCTACCAGGCCTCTCTCAGCATACGCAGGCTGCACCTGGAGGACGTTTACGTGGGAATCTGCCTGGCCAAGCTGCGAATCGACCCGGTGCCCCCTCCCAACGAGTTCCTCTTCAACCACTGGCGGGTGTCTTACTCCAGCTGTAAGTACAGCCACCTGATCACATCCCATCAGTTCCACCCCAATGAACTCATCAAGTACTGGAACCACTTGCAGACCAACAAGCACAATGCCTGTATCAACCTAGCCAAGGAAAAGAACGGCAGGTATAGACACCGAAAGTTTCATGGAGAGAGGCCTCCGTGATGCATCCTGTGAAGACCACCCGCCTCAAAAAAGAAAACAAAAGGGAACTGGGCGCACTGTAACTACAGCCGGTGGAGGGCATGTTGAACACACTATATGGGGAAAAAGCACATTGTTTTTGGTATCGTGTACAGTCGATGATCCAAACTATTTTTTAATTTGAGAGAAAATGTGAAGTATTGTAAATCTGTCGAGCTATTTCTAAAAAGGGAGATTGGAAAAACCATGTCTGTACAATATGGAGCATGCACAAAAATGCTGCTGCAGCTCAAAAAGTAGTGTTTATGATAATTCAGGTGCCAATAGACAGCTGGTGATTTATTCCACACTTAATGCGAGGGCTCTCTTTTAAAGGGTAGAACGGTATGTCACACTCTGCAAATATCAAAAAAGACACACTCGTGTTTACACAGAAAAAAGGGAAATGCACATGTACTCTGTTGAAAGTTAACACTACCTAAATATGAATGAAAGTATCTTTGACGTCGACCAGTTATGCTGCCCTGTTTCTCAGTGTTTACTTTACAGATTTATCAGAGTGGGACTCTAAAGAGATGGTTTATGTCATATCCTGTATTTTATTTTGAGAAAAAAAATCAACAAGAGAGCACTCAGATTCACATCAGAGATGACTGAGATTGTATTTTTTAAAGCTTTACATTGAGTATGACTCTGCACTTGAGCAAATGTGCAATGAATCAATTAATTAAATGTATTGAATTCATCTTTGGTTGCAGTTGTGTGTGATTCATCATCGGGGACCTTTAGTTAAAGTCAGACTATTTTAGTTTGTTTTGTTTTCAGCCTTTCGTCGCAGACACAGGGCTTAATATTAGATATTTATACATAGATTGTAATGATTACACAGAAGAGAAAATGACTTTATCATCCAAATCACAAGTTCAACATAAGTTTCAAGTTGAGTGGAATTAAATGTTTCTTAGAGGGATCGAAAGGTTTAAAAACTGCATTCAGCAACGTGCAGATTTTGAGCAGACGTGTAGCTCTTTGTAGTTGCAATGTTAATGCGTGGAGATTATTCTGGGATTGATCATTATTCCAATCAATTATTTAGACAAAATAAAAGCACACATCAATCATTGATTAATCACTGACTTGTTTTAAAGCCAAAAGACATTATGAAGAGCCGATAAAGACCAGCTGTTCTCGCGCCAAATAATCTCGATCCCTGTAAAGAGCCAGAATTCTCTACAGTAGAAGCACTTATAGATGTGATGGAGCCACTTCCCATAATCAACGATGCTGTCTTCAGAAGTATTACTATGCCTGCATTAATGAGGGGCTGGATGCAGAAAATTGTGAAAAATGCATGTGAATGGAACAATAATGTCGAGGTAATTTAGTACAGGCAAACACTGTTTTCATCTGATTTTTGATCAAATTACATTTTTTACATATTCAACTTGGCATTTTAGGTTTTTTAACAAACATTAGTATAGTGTTTTAGCTTTAATAAAAAAGTCAGGTAGTCATATTTTCAAATCTTTTTGCCTTATCTTGGACTTTGGGGTTTTGGACAAGTTTAAGTTGGACAAACAACTTTAAAAGTTGAAAACTGAGACCATCAGAGGAGCGCATAAATGCAGCATCTGACCAACAAAAGGAGGAAACTGTTGCACCGCTTGTATCCAACATGCGGTGAGCAGCTATGCCTCCTCAAGCGCCACCTTCTGGGTAAGATAATAACGTCAATACTCTGATGTGTATGAAAGACATGAACGCCTTATTCCAGATAGCTGCAATCCTGGATAAGAAACTTAGCATAGAGCTGTATTAGCTGGAACATGGGGTATTGTCTACACCATAGACTGTTTATAGAACGGACGCCGTCCGTCTCCTCACTTAGTGAAGCCACCGTGAGAACAGCACCCTCTGGTGATAGTACAGGTCATAAATCCTGCCTCCTCCAGCAATCCCTATGGAGCTGTGGACACACTTTAGACAGCGACTCTCCCGCCAAATGCGTACAACACTACTGCGCAAGTGGTGGTTCCAGGAAGTGGAGAAAGTCCAAGAGCAATTCAGCTTCAAATTCATATAATGACAGAAGGCGGAGCCAAGTTGTCCATAATATATACAGTCTATAGTCTACACATAAGTTAGTCTTCGACATAGTATTATATGTCTGCACACTTTAAGTTTTAAAGGAACTGTCCATGAATTCAAATCATGTCATTTTAAAACATTCTGAAATTTACAGATGAGCAAAAGCACAGAAATAAAATGAACATAAGTTATTCTAATTGACGAACATCAGATCAAAGGGCAGGAGGTTTTGCAGTATATTTATGATAATTCATGGTGTTCAGATGAGGAGTTTTCCTCTCTCTGTCACCACAGAAATACTAAATAAAGTGGCAGCTGGCTGGACGGAGATTGCCATTGTACTTTTGAGTGTCCGGTAATAAACTGGTTATTGGTTTTAAAGTTTGTTTGCCAAGGCAGAGGTAGTGTTGCAGTAACAATATCCATATCAGTGATTGCAGTTTTGTGTGTTTTCACAGCTCTGGCTGGTCTCCTATGCACACATCAAGTAATAAAAACAGGGTGTTTATTTGATGGATGTCGAGTGGACAGTCAGCATTTGTTGTTAAGTTAACCAACATAAAATCTGATGTTTGCACGCTGCTGGGACTCGGTGTTAAAAGTGATTGCTTTAAACTCTAAATACGTCACCTGGTGCTCATAAAGGTAAGGCATACTTGTACACTTTACTTGATTCTGAATAAATATTGACCAACTTAAAGGTGGCTTAAATCCAGCTCATAAAACCTCATTCCGGATCCTTCTGGCTTCTCAAATTCCTCAAACCAAAGAGAAATTTCGTGTTTTATGCAAACACACCCTCCCTGATTGTTAATGATATTGTACTCTGTGGACCTTGGAGGAATGCATTAGCTCCTAAATGGAAAAAAGTAAAACATTCAGAGAAGCTCAGGTCAGGTAGAAAACAATGACAACAAGCAATCTCAAGGCTGACTGATGAGAAATGAATTAAACATTGAACTCCTTGGTTTCCTGAGGGGATATCAAATATTCTGCTGCAAAACACCCAAGTTTAGATTTTAATTAAAAATGAACGCGTGTGATTTTGATAGGTTGCCAGTGTTACTCCACATGGAACTGCACTCTCAGCCTGTTTATGCATGTGCGTGTGTGTGTGCGGGTCCGCTCGGAGGCAATAAATAAATGCACACTCCATTGCTCAGGGCCACTAACAAAAAGAGCATATATAATTGGGTGATGACTTTAAATAGCTTATATCAGATTAAGGCAATCTAAATAAACTAATGGAGAGCGAGGGGCTCATGAACTTTTTGCACAGACTTCACCGCAGATCTGTCAGCTTCATTTTAATCATCTCCATGTTTGAGTGACTCCGTTCAGGGAGCTGTAAAATGGGTAAAGTTCACACAATGGTGTATTTTAAGCCGCTAAGCAGCAGTAGCTTGAAGGAGGAGGAAGCTGACAGCGGAGAGAGAATATCAAGATGTTCATCTCAGATAAAGCGAGCGGCGCGAAGAACGAGGGTGCGATGCAGGAGCCACGGGCGAAGAAACAACAGCTTTGTTTGTTACTCTGAGGGAAGACATGTAAGACTTCACTTCAACAGTTATCAAGAGTTAAGCTGATTTTTTTTCAATGCACGAATCACATCATTACCTTTTAATAAGGTTTCAAGTCTGCAGAGGTGCAAACTGTCAGATACATCTCATGTGAAACAACCTCGATTTTAACTTTTCAGCAGGATCTTCAGCAGTTCTTTTGAAGAGACAGAAAGTGATCCCTATAGTATTAAGAGTATAGAATTTCCTGCTTCCTTTAAAACTGGTATGAGACTCTTAAGCACACTCTAAAGAAAGAGGAAAATCATCCGCACAGCCTCCAGGAGCGTGCATCTACAGATGTAACAGTATAAAGTACAGACTGTTCTGAATTTATAAGACATAATGGTGCAATTAAGGTGTAGGTTACAGAGCCTTTTGGAAGGAAAGGATGAAATCAGGAGACAGGAATGGATGCATGTGCACCAGGTTCTGGTTTATCTCCGTCTGAGGTCACATGTTCTGGTAAACTAGATGTGTGTTTGAAGCAGGTATACAAAAACAAAAGATGGACAGATTACTTTGCCTTTCTGTGGTTGATGTGCTCCTCATTTGGAGATTTTCAGTGATTGTTAGTCATGCTTAGTAAGAGAAGGTTTCATTTTTTGCTGGTTAAGCAAGTGTTTTATCTCTACAGAAGCAAATCAGTTCAATCATATTTTAAATTTTAGTTATCAGATTTATGCAGAACATAATTAAACAGGTTTGATTAGGGCTGGGCGATACGGCCTCAAATCAATATCACAATATATTGAGCAGTTCACCTCGATTATGATAAATGGACGATAACTACTTCACAAGTTGCTTTACTTCGTCTACTTCAGCCCCTGCTCCGGCCGCTACAACTTCTGAACCGTCCTCCATCTCCTCACCCGTCTTTCCCTCTTTGTTACAGACTGGATGGGGTGGAGTCACGTCTCTGATGTAGGACAGCGTCTTAAAAGGGACATGAGACCATAGTCTACCTACACACATCCAAAACAAACTTTTATTTATTTATTTATTTGTCACCAAATATATTGACATGGCCAAAATTATGCTATTTATTGTTGTAAATTTCGGTATCGGTAAATTTCAGTTTATCCCCAAACCCAAATTTCAAGCTCATGCAGCTACTTCCACTACAGAGCCATGTTTGTTTTTAAGCAGTGCTGCCTTATGGGTAAATAGATCCCACATCTGGTGACACCTATTTGCCTTATCTCCATATCTTTTAATGATATTATCAAACATTAATCTGAAATTGTTGGAATATTTGCTCACGCAGTCTCTCACCGAGTGCTAAACCTCCTCTCATCTGCTCTTCTTATTATAGGCTTTTTTTGACACAGAATATACCGATATGGGCAAAATGACGTCAGTTATTGACATAAATTTCGGTATCAGTAAATGTTCGGTTTATCGCCCAGCCCTATTGACAGGTTTCTTTGCCTTTCTGTGGTTGCTGTGCTCCTCATTTAGAGATTGTCTGCGATCATTAGTCATGCTTCTTAAAATAAAGTTTCATTATTTGCAGGTTAAGTAAATGTTTTCTTTTTATCGAAGTAAATCAATCCAATCATATTTTAAATTTAAGAAGCTATCAGATTGATGCAGCACTTAATTAAACAGGTTTGATATTTACAAGCCTCTCCAGAAGGCTGTTAAAGTAGCACTCATTTATGTGCGACATTATTTGTACAAGATTGAAGCGACATCACTGTGAAACAGATCTGCTGCAGGTACAGAGCGTACCAAAGTCCAGGGAAAACTGTTCATGGCTCTGAAAACACTTCTGGATGGTTTCTTTTTTATCTGCAATCACACGACAAAATGAAACACGAAACGGTCCTGCTGGTACTCTGTGTACCAGCAGTGTACGCAGGAAATCTCAACAGAAAACTGATCCTTTCTGCTGCAGGTAATAACACACATGAGGCATCAGCAGGAGTTGTGTTAAAGTTGTGGGAGTTACATTGCAGCCCCCTCCTCCTGTTTTTTTTAAACATTTGAGAGCACGACTGTTCAGCTTCTTCTTTTTTAGAGTATGACACATCATGCTCTCTCTTTCTCTCTTTGCTTTATTAGGAACACTCCAGTTATGCAGGGAATATTTTATGCCACACCACCTGTTTGAGGGCACAGGGCATCAGTGAACAACCTGAACATGATGTCCAACCAAAGACAGACTCCTCATCCTCTCTCAGCGGGACTCTCAATCTTACAGAGCTTAATTGCTAAATTTGCAAGTCTTGGGAAAATAAAGATTTGATGCTGGTCTCCATGTCAGTTTATTCAACTTCTAACGTGCATTAAAAAAAGAGTCTCCACTGAACAAAAAAAAAGACTCACTGCATATGTTCAAACTGAATCCAACATTTCGACAAGTCAACAACAAGGGATCATATCAACTTGTACCAATTATTCTGTCAGTTTTGCACAAAAATTTGGACAGGAGGCGTCTCGAATTTCTCAAACAGATCATCTTTGCTTTTCCAAATCAACACTGCTCAGCAAATATGTTTGCATACACTGTTACACCTGCAAAAGCTTCCCCCCGACAACAGTACCATTAAAATCTTAACTGGGACTTTCTGTTTCCCTGAATTTACCAAATATGAGCAAATACAGATCAAGCCTTAGAAAAAACATGACACTATATCTGCAAGTATGCTCAAAATTTACTATAATGTTGCACAGGAGGTCAAGTCTGGGGATTAAGATCCCTTTTTTTTTAGTAAGATAAAATGAATCTTGCCATATAAATTACATTTTATCTTACTAAAAAAAACGTTCCTATCCAAGTTTGCGATGAATAACTTTTAAAAGCCAAACACTTTAAAGCTCCAGTGAGAAACTTTTAGTTTGTGTCAGTTTTAGTGCCCCCTGTGGACAAAACAGTGTTTTGACATTCTTTGTTGAGGCAGCACGACTCTACATAATGCCTGTTGGCAAATAGCATAATCACTGACTTTGGAGTATGTCACCTTTCAGTTCACGTATGATGTCCAAAGACTCAGAGACAGACTTTACTTAACATGGCTCAAGGTGGTAGAAAATCAAATTGGCGTTATGTGACTGTTTGCAATTTCTGTTTTAATTTTGACTCTGACTGAGAATTTTTTGACTGAAACACTGAATTACATGAGCAAAATTAAAAAAATAATTAGTTCCTCAGATCAATTATGGACCAAAATAAAAGACACAAAGATCAAATGAATATGAATAAAATCAACCAGAATCTTCTGCAAGTGGCTTAGACTAAAACCAATTTCAAATTTCTTGTAAAAATTAGCAAAAATTGCCAAGGGAAGCAAATAATTTATCAATACAAGAAGAATATTGAGTTAATAATAGTCAATAATGTATTGATATTGTACCTCTCCGACTGGAGAAACGATATTCAAAACAAACTTAAGGTCAAATTACCCGTTTAAAAGATTTTTTTTTAACAGTTTATTGGAGATTTGTTGTTTCATTTAAATGATGTGACCACATTCTGAATCCCCAAAAAGAGGACCACACTGCGTGGAGTCGTGTGCAGTAAATTTTGAGGGTTTTTCATGTGGGTTTGAGTGTTTTTTATTTGCTTCTAACTCAGTTAGTCCAGGTTACACAAACTCAAAACTTCCACAGGATGTCGGGACAAGACCGGACAGCCCCCCAAAAAGAGGACATGATTTTTATTTTTGTAATTTTGTACTTTTTATGAAATAAAAAGTAACTGTCCATTAATGATTTCTGATAATATTGTCTTTTTTTCCTATTTACCAGAGAGACTATAAATATCAAGGTTAATTTTTTAATAAATAAACTATGCTTTATTAAAAGGGTGCCCTGACTTTCACTCACAACTGTATGGTCACCCTATTCTTGAATGCAGTGGGTAAATTCAAACTTGGCACAAAGCAGACAGACAAATAACCACGATGACTCTCTGTTAAAGCCGCCTACAAAAGACAGATTTCGTCAGTCGTGAGTTGTTGGCATAACAGCAAAATCAAATGCAAGTTTTTTCTGCAGGTTTATAAAAAGTATCATTAAGAAATACGCGTCACAAAGCACTGACATAAGACAACAAGAAAATCCAATTTCTGTCTAAAAGCCTCCAGAACAGTGACGTTCAAATACTCAACCAGTCCCAGGTATTTATCAGCCTCCATTAGTTATGATTAAAGTCAGGACTCTAAGTGCAGGGATTTGGGGAACAAGGTTTGGTGTCATTCGTGCATGTCCTCTGCAATCAGAGCGCCAGATTACCAGCATCCGGCCTTACTCAGCCCTGCGACAAATGATGAAGAGAGGAAAGGGTGGGGAGGAAAAAGAAGCTGAAAGGGGTTAGAGGAAAAATGGAGGCAGAGATATATGAACTGGTCTGCTACTGGGGGAGAGGAAGGGCGTGAAGGCAGGCGGCTGTACGAGTAAAAGAGAAAAGGATGAGGAAGGAAAAAGAGAAACAGCGTGAAGGAGGTAGTGATGAATGAAGAGGAAAGGAGCAGTGACTGATCAGTATTGAGAACTCGTGCTGCTGTAAATGTGGTATAAAAGGCTAACAGTGGAAACGGATTGAGATGTCTGCAGTGATGGAGTGGAGGCTGTGGCCTGGCTTTAACATCACAGCTCGCTGTTCCTCAAAAACCAGAGGAGAAAAAATACACTTAAGGAGGAGACAAATCTCCTGACCTTTCCATTACAGCCAGCCATGGAAACTGACTAATACCTCTCTGTGGGCATGACAGATGAATCCTGCTGGAAGTTTCAGGTGAGGAATAACCAAACTCGACGGGGAAAGTGACGAATGTCATCTGCTGCAACTGAACAAGGTACATTAGCGAAGATGTCTGCTTATTTCTACGATGTGGAAATGACGAATTAAAGCAAAATGTATGATGATTATGTTTTCAAAAAAAAAAACAACAGCCTAAAGTCTGGCACTTTAAATTAGGAGACCTTTTGCATCCACCCACCTTCTCCTGGATGTGTTTTTTTCTGGACACTGGTGCAAAATAAATCCTCTTGTTCACGAACTCCCAGATGTACACAGTAACCTACAGTTTAATCTCTAGTTGTGCATCAGGGTGTACTAAAAGACAATGCAGTAGTGGTTCACAGCCACACAATAGAAAAATGATGTTTGCAGCAAACTCCTCAGTAAGGAAAGTCGCTAGTGGCTGTCCTTGAAATTACTAGATTACACCATAATCTAATTAGCATAATTTTTCAGTCACCAGCTACTCATTAAGAAGAGTAACAGTGATACCTGCTTTCATGTCAGAGTCTCCAAACTCCAGAAAAAGTCACTAAATTTGTCGCTCGGTGCCTTTTTGAAAATAAGTTGCTCGGGGGGTCTGAAAAGTCGCAAAATTTTGCGTCAAAGTCAACACTGGGAAGTCCTTTCTATCGTACGTCTACCCAACGGTTTCTGTTGGCGTCTGTTTCTAGTCTGAAATTTGAGGCATGATCACTAACGTGTGTCATCTCATACCCAAAATGGTTGTACATGTGATGTATGAGTGTAAACAGGCAAGTGTAGATGGATTCTCGTGTATGTGAGGTCGAGTCCAAAATATAAGCGTGGAGATACTAGCTACTCTAGCGTCTTTGTAATCCATTTTTATTCCTTGTCACAAAGTCTCCTTCTGCATCTACACATCACGGACAGATGAGATACAGCAAATCTAAGCACAGCACCACCTCTGCTGCTATTTTAATAATCAATAATATTGTTTCTGACATTTTCTGGAAACATTCAGTCAGTCTAAAGATGTCCCACAAGGATCAGTTCTTGGCCCCTATTTTATTTACTGTCTATATTAATAAAGATGTTTCCTCCATAACAGGAAACTGTCATTTTCACCTTTATGCTGATGATATTATTTTAATACTTCTCTGCTGATTCTGCTCACTTTGCTGTAGAGAAACTGTAATGAGCTTTAAATCGTCTTCAAAATGCTTTTATTACTCTTGAGATAGTTCCTAACCAAGCTAAACTAAATTTATGATCTTCTCCAGAGCTATAGATGTAGATATAAACAGCCCTCAACTGTCCACACTCAGTGGTTGCAGTATTGAAGAGGTTCAGTGTATAAATGTCTTGGTATTTCCCTCACATTTAAGCACCGTATTGAGACTTTCACCAGTAAATTTAGGCAGAAACTTGGTTTCCTGTGCAGACACAAATCAAACGTCCCTCCTGAGTGCTGGAGACATTTAATTGAAGCTATTTTTCTGTCTGTACTCGATTATGGTGACACGCTGCTGCTGCTTCCACACTCAAACCTCGAGACTCTGTTTATCACGAGGTTCATAACTGGAGATCCTCACAACACTCATCACTGTACTAACTCTGTATACCAAAGTTGGTTGGTAAAGACTTTATGTTGTTATCTTTAAGTCCCTAATTAGACAAACACCATCATATATAACATCTGTGCTGAGCTGGACCACTGGACATTACAATAGTCGCTCCACTGACTGCCTAATGCTGCAGGTCCCAAGAGTTTACTCTGAATTGGGTAAATCTGTGTTCAGCTAATGTGCTCCTATAAAGTGGAAACACTAAAAACAAAATCTGTGGGTTAGTGCTCTAGTTTGTTCTTGTACATTTAAGATGATGATCTCAAATAATTTCACCACCATGTGTAATTGTTTTCATTGATCGTACTTTCTCGTCTTGTTTTTAACTTGTTCTAAATGTGTCTCAACATCATTGTAAATGAGGGACACATAAATGATTTTCAAGAATTAAATAAACGTGAAATAAATAAATAAATCAGATATGGCAAATCTTAAAATTGAGGCAGACAGCACCTCACGCTGTTTGGTAAATACAACAGCCACTAAAATGACAAAAAACAGTAAGCGTAAGATATTTTTGTGAAGATGTTTGTGATGTTATGCTGTACGATACGTTCACTGTAATGAGCAATACGAGAGCCTTCGTACAAAAACAGAGCTGTACGTTTTCAAAAGAGTAGCCTAATAGTCACAGCCCGCGTACTTTCATGCTTCCTTTTAGATCAGAGGCAAAACATCTACTCAGACTCAAGGTTTAGCACAAGAAAAATTAAAAGGTTTATGGCAACAACAAACATGGCAACAATGGAGGAGATCTGATTTTGCATTAGTAAAGACAGAAACAACCTGAAGGACGTCTGTGACGCCATTTATATACTTCTCAACATATTGATGTTAGTTTTTCCAAGTAAGAAGTTCTGTTTCCTGCTTTACACAGTCAATGGTTTCAACTATTGGCATCACTGCCCCCAAGTTAACTAACCCTATCTTCTTTTTTTAACCACATTGATGCAAAAACACAGATTTCAAACTCTTAATCACAACTTCAACAGGCAGTCTTTGGAGGTTTCAACAACTCTGATAACCACTTAAGCCCAGACAGTTGGTTTTGATAGTCTTCACATCAACATTTATCCTAAAAACAACAAAAGGAAACTCACAGAGAAGGTGGATCCTGAGGAAACAGAGGCCCTGGACTTGTCTTCCTCTTCCTGGAGGTTTCGCTGTGGTCAGCATTCATGTGGTTGAAGATTCCCCTCCTCAGGTCTCCAACTGTGTGAGAGCCATTTGTCCAATCCATTTAGAAACAGCAATGTCCCTTTTTTTTTCTTCCTTAGAAACTGGCCATGCTTTTTAAAAATACTCCAGATTGTCAAGTTCCTGCATGTTTCTGTATGTTCTTCATTAAGTCCAAATCCAGTTGGAGGTTTCCTCATTTTTTCAAATTTTCTTCTTCCTCTTCAATGGAGTTTATTGGCGGTTGGCAAACAAAATTGAAGGTGCATTACCGCCACCTACTGGACTGGAGTGTGGGACAATAACCTGGCAGACAAAATAATTATAAAAAAAAAAAAAAGAAAACCTAAATAAGTAGATTAGATCCTCTCCATTAACTCTGTATCTTTCAAATATTCCATTAAATGCTTGAGCGAAACTTCTGACTCTGCTCCTAGCAGGTCCCCCAGAGACCCCAGAGAGATAGCTTCACATACTTCCTGGTCAAACCACACTGCTGCTAGCAAGGGTAAAGTCTGACATCTAAAACTATGAAACTATATGTTCCTGCCGTCTCTTTTCTGAGGCTGTAAAATAAAGGACAATTCTGCACAAAGTTCTCACGCTTGAGTTAATTTCATCAAAGCTGATTGAAAGCAAAAAGAGAAACTGCTGCAGTCTTCCCTATCTCCAAGTCTTACATGGTACAGTCCACTGCTAACACCTGTTTGAGTACGGGGCATTTGAGTGTGCGTGTAAATCTGAGCACCATGAGAATGAAACACAGATACAAAACTCTGTCCTTACCTTTATTAAGCTGTGCTTTTAGGAAATACTTCAAACTACATTTTTGTGCTTTTTTGAACATCTTTGCACTTTAAAGTTTAGTTAAATCCTGAAATATTGAAGCCTTTAATTAAAAAATAGCTCATTACGCTGGTGAGATTAATTGCAAGACCTTTTTTAAGACCTTTATATATCAGGTAAGAGCACAATGGCTGCATTCATTCTGAGACACTGTGACCCTATAGTTGTGAATGCACTGCATATGCAAGTATATTGCATAACCAGTAAGCTATATAGCGTTGCGCTGCAGAGGAGTCTGAATAGAGACACAGAGACAGTGTTCAGGTAGATCCTGAAGTTTGTGCACCGCTCCCTTACAGTCATTTCTACTAGAGGCGACATCCACCGGGTCTCATCAGCCAAGACAGACCTCCCAAACGCTTCCAGACAGATGGTAGATTCGAGCCAGAGCTCCAGCACTCAATGATGGGGAGGTGTCAGCGCTGAGCCAAAAAGAAATCTATTTATAAATGTAATTCGACAGTGACGCTGCACATCGTAGGAGAACTGTTGGACATGCAACCTGCCAGGGCCCGAATAAACAAGTCCGACCCTGTTAGCACTTTGAGGGTCTCTGTGAAGACACGTGTTTGTATGTCACTCTGGCTATTAGCCACACAGGGATGCACAGAAGGGATGCCGGCTATTGTTATATAAATGGATAGCGTGCAAACGGACAGTGAGGTCCACTAGAGGCAGAATAATTAATGCCCCGCAGTGTGTGGTCAAGTATAATGAGTGGACCTGGAAAGGAAACAGACGTCTGTTTTAAGTGTTTATTATTTTGGTCTCATTATGCCACACTTTACCCAATTAAACTCCAGATTTTTGCCTCATCACTTTTTACTCAGTTGTTATATTTTAGAGCGTTGACTCAGTTCCCTCTGGTTTTACTCCGGTACAGCGACTCCGGCATGTGGTTAAAGTGCTGATGCTCGGTTTCAGCAACTTTTGGGGACAATGCAGCAGATGATAAGGGATATATGAAAAGAGCTGCTGCAGAGAAGGATGTTTTTTTTTTTTTTCCTGGGGATCCCCAACATCTGTTCTTCAGCATGTTTAGCAGAGGGGAACTCCACAGGCTGCAAAAGCGTCAGATTTTATGAAACCGAATATGATCAATGCCCGGTCTTGAGTGAATTTATGAACTCAATTGATTTTCATTTCATTTAAAAAACACAATAACTTACTTAAGCTGCAGGCTGGACTGTTCTGTTGTGCAGAGAGAAACACATAGAAACCCCGGAGCAGCATCAGGAGTTAAATTTCGGTCAGACCT